GGGGAGAGGGAGAGTGGGCGGGGCCCCACTGGCGGGAGGAAGAGGGAGGGCGGGAGAAAGAGGGAGAGTGGGCGGGGCCCCACTGGTGGGAGAAAGAGGGAGAGTGGGCGGGGCCCCACTGGTGAGGTGGGAGAAAGCGGGAGGGTGTGCGGGGCCTCCGACTGCGAGAGGACAGTGGGAGCGGCGTTCCCCATAGGGTGGGAGGGCAACGGGGAATCCACCTGCAAGAGGACAGTGGGAGCGGGGCACCTGAAGGGTGGGAGGGTGCGCGGGGTCTCCACCTGCCGGAGGACCGTCGGGGCGGGGCCCACATAGGGTGGGAGGGGTGCGCAGGGCTCCACCTGCCGGAGGACTGTCAGGGCGGGGCGCCCGAAGGGTGGGAGAACGGCCAGGGGTGGGCCATGGTGGCTTGTGGGAAAAACCTGGGCTGATGGCGCCGGGGAGTGGCAGGCAGGGCACTCACGCTGAACGGCTGATTCTCTCTCAGGGCGACTCTGGGGGCCCCTTGTCCAGTGTGGAGGCCGATGGTCGCATCTTCCAGGCCGGAGTGGTGAGCTGGGGCGATGGCTGCGCGCGGAGGAACAAGCCCGGCGTATACACCAGGCTCTCCATGTTTCGGGGCTGGATCAAAGAGCAGACTGGGGTGTAACAGCCAGTCCACAGAACACCCCAGCGTGCAGGCCTGCAGACTGAGGACAATGGCTGGCCTGCGTCCCCCTTGGGCCCTCCAGAGCCCAGATTGTGAACTGAATCCCCGGGACTCAGGCAGTGAACCCCCAGATGGTGAACCCTCAGATGGTGAACCCCCCAGATGGCGAACCCCCAGATGGCAAACCCCCAGATGGCAAACCCTCAGATGGCAAACCCTCAGATGGCGAAACCCCAGGTGAAGAACCCGCAGATGGTGAACCCTCAAGTGGCGAACCCCTGGATGGCAAACCCTCAGATGGCAAGCACTCAAGCGGTGAACCCCCAGATGGTGAATTCGCCAGAGGGCCTCTTTCTGCCTCGGTCTCCAAGTGGGGCTGGGGTGTGGGAGGAGGAGCCCCAAACCGGGCGGCGGCGCTGCTCTGGAGATCCACTGCCTCTGTCTCTGAGGAACGCCTGTAACTTTGCCGCCACCGCCTCTTTCGGGGGGCTGGCAGGAGGGCTGCTGGCTCTGGGCTGTGGGGTCCAGGGTCATACTCTTCGGAAGACCTAGACCACAGTACCCTGGAAAATAGACGGCATGGACTTGAATGACTTCACAAACTCCTGGGATGGGTCTGGTGTGTGCGTTTGTGTGTATGAGTAAAACATTTCTTCCTAGGTTAATTTTTTTCTTACGGGAGCCGATGGCCTCCCCCTCTCCCAGTTGCAAGAAACCTGGGTTAAATTCCCCTAAGCACGGACTTTGGAGTCAGGTCGAGCGTGGGCAGCCAAAGTGCCCGTTCTCTAGGCCAGCCAGAGCTGTGTGTCTGCTCTTATCTGTGGCATCTGAGACCTGCCCTGACGGGAGGGCCCTTGGTGGGCAGCACAGCAGTTGCCCAGGCCTAAGTCCAGCCCAGAAGGAAGAGGATGCTTGGTCACAAGGAAGATGAATGGGAGCCTGGCTTTCTGCTAAAGGAGAGGCGGTCACATGAACAGCGTGTGTGCACGGACTAGTGGGTGTGCATGGATTCTCTGTTTACCTGGGGTGGCTCAGGGGGATAGTGTCAAGGAGTTGGGAAGAGGTTAGGGAGCTCTTGTCCTGGGGCTTTGAAGTGGCCTCTTGGAGAACATGGAAGCCTCTTGTATGCCAAGCCTTGTTGTAGGAGGTGGGATTGGGGAGGGGAGTAGACCTAGGAAGAGAAAACAAGGGGTTCTTGTCATGAGGGCAGGCCAGCACTGTCCTCAGCCTGCTTGTCACTGTATCTCAGGGTCTAGCTTGGGCTCACAGGAGATACTAAGACATGTTTGTTGACTGAATGGTCTTTGCTCTCTGTGAGTTAGGAAACAAAAGGGAGGAAAGATGCAGTCTATTTGGCACAATCTGGGGAGACTTCTTGGAGGAGGTGGGGTTTCAGCTGCCTCTTAGCCTGAATGTTTTACCCTTTGAGGGAGGGAGAAGTGCTGTCTTGATAGTTGTGCAGGCTTCTGTGTTGGATTTTCCTTTTGCCTTCAGGGGCCCAGGATAAGGGAAAAGAAAGAGTATCCATTCGTAGCAAGGTGTGGGAGGTAGGAAGAATAAAGATGACGTCGAAAGACTACTGTGCATATTGTAAAATGTTGTAAATGCCACTCCTTTCTGCCCCTGATGTGGTCCTCCACTCCCAATTGTTCTGACAGAGGGTCCCAGTGTCAGTGCTGAGCAAGAGGCTACATTAAATGGAGAAGTGCCACGTGACGTGTGGGGTCTGGTCACTCAGCCAGCCAGGGCTTGTGCAGTCATGGATGTGGCTGCCCACAGTGTGGCTCAGGGGGGCCAAACCAGCCTGTGCCTACCCCAGTGCTCCACTCCTGCTGTGGACCAACATCCACCCTCTAGGACAGACAGGTGGACGGGGCCTCAGAAGACATTCGCCGTAATAAGAGCCTTTCTCCTGAAAGCCCGGAGCCTCTCTGCAGCTATGTCCGAGGCTGGTGTGGCAGATCAGACTCATTGTTTCCCACCTAGGGAGCATGTTAAAGTACAGGTGCCTGATCCTCTAGGGCCACTGCACCCACCTACTCCAGAAGTCTGAATGGTAGGTCTGGGATGGCTGCTAGGCATCATTTATAACAGTGTCTTAGGCTGGTTTCTCTAGAGAAGCAAAACCAGTAAAGTGTATAAACATATATATAAAGACCAAAAATCTGTTGCCATTGAGTTGATTCTGACTTACAGCGACTTTATAGGATAGAGTATAACTACCCCATAGGATTTCCAAGGTGCAGCTGGGGGGTTTGAACTGCTGACCTTTTGGTTAGCAGCCGAGCTCTCAACCTTTTATGCCACCAGAGTTCCAGAAATACATATAGTGATTTATATCAAGGAAATGGCTCATGTGCTTGTAGAGGCTGGAACGTCCCAAGTCCGTGAGTCTGTGGGTCAGGATAGAGGCTTCTCCTGATTCATGTAGCCACAGGGGCTGGTGAACCCAAGATTGGCAGGTCAGACAACAGGGCTTTTGCTCACAGGCTGTGAAGATCGACGAATCCCAAGATCAGCAGACAAGACGGCAGGTAAACTGATAGCTCAAGTCCCAAGAACCAGAGGTCAGGTGAACAGGAGCCAGCTGCAGCGTCCAGAGCAAGCAAAAAGCCCACGAGCCTTGCCAGAAAGTTCACTTATATTTGATGCAGGCTACACCCCCAAGGAAACACTTCCTCAACTGATTGGCTACTCATAGCAGATCCCATCATGGAGGTAATCACATTATATCAGATCTCATCATGGAAGTGATCACTTCCAAACTACATCATAACTGCAAAATCACTGAGAATTATGGCCCAGCCAAGTTCACACACAGCCTTAACAATCATAGTCCACCCCTTGTCCCCTTGGCACCTGTACACATCTCCTTAAACCATAATCGCTGAATAAAGACAATTATAAAGTCATATTTATGCCTAACATGATACAACAAACACACAACAGAATATGCACTAGCCCTGTTTACATCTTACATTTTATAAGTAAAGGAAACTAAAATATTTGATGCACACATACAAGGCAGAAATAACAATTACAGTCCTCGTTTCTGCAACTGGTCATGTGGTCATAAATGGTATTTAGAACTACCTTCTTCCACCACTCATTCCGGATTCCCTTTTCCTTCAGCAAGCACCTCAGCTGGTTGTGGTTCTTTGCCTGCCAGGGTGACCCAAACCTTCATTCCTGAAGGATCTGAGCTGTTAGTAATCTTAGAAATGGGTTGCTGTAGTTTTCCATTGACTTTAATCACAGGGCATAGTAGTACTAAGAGATGCCCTAAGGCATATTCCTGCTTTCCAGACATATTCTTCTTTATCTCCAATATGTAATATCAATCTGATTTCCCCTTGATAATCAAGATCAGTCATGCCAGCCAGCATAGCAACTCTTCTTGTGGATCCAGAGGCATGAGGAGCCCAAAATGGCCAGGTGGCATTCTTAACTTTCAGTTCAATAGAATCAGGGATGCGTCTCTAGGTGGGAACATTCCTCCCTTTGGAACTAAGTCCTCTAAACCTGCAGAGCATAGGGTCATGGAGATAGGAAGCAAAAATTTTCCAAGTGGGTCACTAAGGGTAATAGCGACTGGTGCTACTCCCTTTTCCACTCCTTGATTCCTGGACCCATGAATCCTGGCTGTGGTGGAAACAGGACCATATATTGCGCACTGGTTTAGAGCATATACAGCCTCCTGGAGAACATTGCCCCAACCCTGCAAGGTATTGCCACCTAGCTGGCACCCGAATTGTATCTTTAAAAGGCCATTCCATCATTCTATGAAGCAAGTTGCTTCAGGATGATGGGGAATCTTGTAAGACCAGTGAATTCCATGAACATGGGCCCACTGCCACACTTCATTTGCTGTGAAGTGAGTCCCTTGATCTGAGGCAATGCTGTGTGGGATACCATGATGGTGGTTAAGTCATTCTGTAAGTCTACAGATGGTAGTTTTGGCAGAAGCATCGCGTGCAGGGAAGGCAAATCAGTATCCAGAGTAAGTGTTTATTCCAGTAAGAACAAAACGCCCTTTCCATGATGGAAGCAGTCCAATTAATCAACCAGCCACCAGGTTGCTGGCTGATCACCTTGAGGAATGGTGCCATATCGGGGACTCAGTGTTAGTCTCTGCTGCTGGCAGATTAGCACTCAGCAGTGGCTGTAGCCAAGTCAGCCTTGGTGAGTGGAAGTCCATGTCACTGAGCCTATACATAACCTCCATCCTTGCCACCATGACCACTTTGTTTATGAGCCCATCGGGCAATGATGGGAGTGGCTGGGGGAAGAGAATGACTGATTTCCACATAATACATCACCCTATCCACTTGATTGTTAAAATCCGCCTCTGCTGAGGTCACATTTTGGTGAACATTCACATGAGACACAAATATCTTCACTTCTTTGGCCCATTCAGAGAGGTCTATCCACATACCTCTTCCCTGTACCTCCTTGTCTCGAATTTTCTAATCAAGTTCCTTCTAAGTCCCTGATCATCCAGCCAAACCATTGACGATAGCCCATGAATCAGTATACAGTTATACGTCTGCCCATTTCTCCTTCCAAGCAAAGTAAACAACCAGGTGCTCTGCTGGAAGTTCTGCCCACTGGACGGAATTCCCTTCACCACTGTCCTTCAGGGAGCTCCCAGAAAGGTACTGTGGTGCTGCTGCTGTCCGCTTTTGAGTGGTGCCTGCATATCGTGCAGAACCATCTGTAAACCAGTCATGAGTTTTCTCTTCCTCAGTCAATTGATTATAAGGAATTCCCCATGAGGCCATGGGTGCAGACTGGGAGATAGAAGGTAATATGACAGGAGTGGAGACCATGGGCATTTGGGCCACTTTCTCGTGCAACTTGTGCCTTCAGGTCCTGCTTGGGCCAGAACCCGTATATACCACTTACATTTAATGATAGAGTGCTGCTGTGCAAGTCCAACTTTATGACTCTGTGTGTCAGACAATACCCAGTTCATGATGGGCAGCTCAGGCCTCATGGTGACTTGGTGTCCCATTGTTAAACATTCAGTCTCTACTAAGGCCCAGTAACAAGCCAAAAGCTGTTTCTCAAAAGGAGAGTATCTGCAGAGGATGACAGGGCTTTGCTTCAAAATCCTAAGGGTCTACACTATGATTCACCAATAGGGGCCTGTCAAAGACACCAAACAGCATCTCTATCTGCCACTGACAATTCAAGCGCCATTATCCCACACCCTTAGTAGTCATTTCCACACATATTCCCCAGATTTCTGACAGTACATATTTGAAAAGTCAAGCAGTTCTTTTGGAGCATAGCTTTGCCTGGTCACACTTCGTACTTTTATCTTTTGAGGCTTGCTGGGACTTTAATTATAGTTCTAGAAGCCAAAATCGGTGGTGGGGATTTTTTTTTTAGAACATTCAGCATTGTCTTGTAAGGCATCTGCTTCAGGTGATGCCCCAGGCAATGACTAAGACAAAGGCTCTTCAGACACCCGTTGCTGTTGAGTTGATTCCGACTCATAGCAACCCTATAGGACAGAGTAGAACTGCCCCATAGTGACCCTATAGGACAGAGTAGAACTGCC